AAGCCACAATAACATTGACAAATACATAGTTTAGGAAGAGCCTGCCTGAAACTATACAAAAAAGCAAATAAGCAAATGGATGTATAGAATTGACAACAACAACCACGCTGTCGAGTTTAAATAGCGGCAAATCAGCTGCACTTGATAGTAGTTGGTTGAATAAGGAAAATGAATTAGCAACAAGAGTTTACGGGATGTACATAGCTCAGTGGTTAACGCTTCTGACTTTGAACATCGAATTCGCAGGTTCGATCCCTGCTGAAGTCTAGAAAAAAGAAGTCTGATGAAGAGATATGGTGATCTCCGAAATAGCTGCTATAACTTCTACCGCTTAGACTTTGTTGCTTTTTCAATTTTTCCTAATAAACAATCGTGGTACAAAGCTCAATAAAATTATTAAAAAAATTGACAATTTAAAAATATTCATTTTGCTAGAGAATTTTGATGTCTGTATTTGTGATTTTTTTTCATTTTTTCCTCGCCCCGTTCTCGAGATATTTGGAAAATTATTAAATCGATTTGTTTTTGTTTTTGTGCTGTAAAGTTTTTAAAAATGTATTAATCCAACTCAAATTTCAAATTTATTTATTATTTATGTTTATGCATCAATCCTAAAAATTTGAAACAAATCAAACACATGAAGTGTGAATCCCGTCCGTTTTGGTATGGAAACCCCTATATCTGAGCCATTCGTAAAAAAAATTATGTCATGTCGCCGATTCGCTTCAATTTTTTTTGTGGGTTCTATACATGGCCCTTAGGGTGTTCAAAACGCGCACTTGGCGGCGTGGCTCCGTAACGTAAACATCAAGCATGGATACATTACGATTTGCAAGTAAATGAAAATATTTGGGGGCGGAAGTAACAATAAGAAAGACTTCGCCAGTAACTCCCCAAAGATTTCTTGCGAACTCGGCATTGGAAACAGCACAATTCCTTTTAATATTATTTTTATTTCTTTCACTTACCCGAAACACCAAACTGGAGCTAGTGAACGTTGGACGATTGTCATTTAAATCCAACACCTCAACGCGCAACAAACGTATCGACTTCTTAGGTGGATTGCCACCGTCCGTGGCTGCCACCGCCAAACGATAAATACTTCGATCCTCATGATCTAGAACGACTCGTGTGTGAATTACACCCGTAGCCGCATCAATGCTGAACATCCCGTAACCGTCTGAATCACGGCCTCTCAGTATCGAGTAGGTGATCGAAGCATTCTGCCCGTTGTCGCGATCGACGGCACGAATACGTACCACTTCACTGCTAGGCGGCTGATCTTCGCGTACACTGACCACATCCTCTTGTGGATCAACAATGACCGGCGCATTGTCGTTGACATCGGCTATGTGCACCTTGACGGGTACACGCACACTGCGGTAGGGGGTACCTTGATCGCGAGCCTCCGCCACTAGATCGTAAACGGCGCGTAGCTCGCGATCGATCGATTCACGGGTGGTGATCTCACCTGAAATTATGGAGAAAATAAAAACATAGACGGAAGTTAAATTAAAATTACGGAAAAATAAGAGAGATAAGTAGTTACGTACAGGGCCGGCTTTAGGCAGGACGAGCGGGGCGGTCACCCTGGGCGCCTAATCTTGGGCGCAAAATTTTGAGGTGGCGTTTAATTTTTTTATTACATACAATTTTAAAATGTGAAAATCAGCAATTAACATCTTATCATTCTGGAGCTCTTACTCGGCTTAAATATATATCTAGTCAGTAAACCAAATTCAGAAAATCGAAACTCGCTGCAAGACCATCATATTTGACATTCCCACGCCATAAAACATAAGAGTTGGGCAGTACCTTAGAACAAAAACAAAACAAAAAAATTCAGCTCGCGAAAGAGCTGGTTATGAAATTGCAGTTCTTGTTTGTAGTAGGCTTAGACTTTTTAAATTTTCTTTGTTCACTGAGAAAAAGGATTAGTTTCGACAACTAAAGATATTTAGTTCCCGAATTTTGACAATATTTGGGAACTGTTACCAAGGAATGGGAACTATTACCATGGGTTGGTAATTATAACTAAATATATTAAAACTTATATTATTCATCTAGGTTGTACCAAATCGTTAATTTAGTGGAAAGGTTTGGCAAATACTAATAAATATTTTTTTGAAGCATATTTCTACAAATTTCATTCAACTTAACGTATGGTTGATAAAAGGATGTCGTTAAGCTCTGCTAATACAGATAAGCTTTCTTTCAACACATGGTTAAGTCATAGTTACCAAATCTTAGTTGAGGCAACCACGATTTGGTTTGAGAGCGGAACATATTCATGCTTGTGAGCCACCCCTAAATAATGCTGATCGCTCTCTGAGCACATGTGTGTCTCACATACGAAGAGCGCCAGCTGAGCAATGCACACAGTCACGGTTGCCACTCACCTAAATTTTTGTGGACCAAAACGTGTACCAAAATTAAAAAAAGCACCAAAATAATTTTCAACATAAACATTTAAATATTTATTATAGATAATTTTAAAATGGACATTTGATACTGCAAATCCTTAAACTAAAATACATATACATTTGTCATTTCATGTTTTTTTGTTTTATTTTTGCTGTCTAAAATACAAAAATAATGAAGGGATCTTTATGCTCAAGAAATTCAAGCTTTACTTTTAATACAAGGCAAAATTGGTCTTTTTAATGAAATTTGTAGTAGGGAAACAAATAATTTTACTATTTTCTAACAATTTTAGTTATTTAAAAGAATAAAGTATATTTACATATTTTGATTTTTTTTTTAATGTACATACTATGTATGTATGTATTTGCATATACATATATATGTACGTATGTACATACATAAAACACAGTAGTTTTTTAAAGGATCAAAATCAGAGAAAGAAAAACTCCATAAATAAGAATTGTTGTTCGTAACGGGTTTAATGTCAATTAAAATTTAAAAAATTCTACTTTCTCTCCAAACATACAGATGAAAAGTACGGCCTGTACACAACTCTTTAGCGAGCATGATATTATTGAGGGTTTTAAACTCAAGCTTATTGCGCAGCTTTGTCTTTATTAAGCTCAACTCGAAAAATTTACGTTCTGCCGAGCTATGTGGAAGACTAAGGCCCAATTTCAGATGGCCTATTTAAGCAGAGATTGTTGATTAACTTCCACTATTCATTTTCAGGTCATACATTTAATCTGCACTTAAATGGCCAATATCGGCTATTTAAATATGAGATATGCAACCCTGTGTTTGTACCAAACAACCAAGATTGATTGGTAGGTTATTTAATCAATCCCACCAAATACACATAGTGGCAACGTTCGTACTGTGCGGTCACTTAAACTTTCGCTTGAAAGAATTTCCAAAGTTNATCTGGCAACGTTCGTACTGTGCGGTCACTTAAACTTTCGCTTGAAAGAATTTCCAAAGTTTAACTCGTTTACAAAGTGCTAAGCAGTTCTAATTTGTGTTATTCACACCGTAAAAAGTTTACTGAAGCCAAATTCCAATAAATTGACTTGATTTAGTCATAAAGTGCGTTGATTGAAAAGTTTTATTTTGTCGGCCTTCGTGCATATTTGCCTGCTTTGGTGCATTATTGTTTAATTTATTTTTAAGTTTTATTGTTAAGTTCAGCACGGTTTCTAACCACTGAACTTCACTAAATAAGACCACTAGCTATTAAACCGCCAATTACTGTGAGCTTGAAATGTTTTCGTACAATACATTCCTAATTTCGCTATTTTTATTCTTTTTTAATAAAATTCGCTGAAAATGTCCTGTCTATTCGAAAAATGTAATGTAAAAGCCGGTTCGGACCGTTTTGTGGCGTGCTGGCTTTGCGATGAACTGTCTCATTTAAAGTGTGCTGGTATTAATGGGAGAGTTCTGGATATGATTATTGGAGACAATGGACTTCGCTGGTCATGTCCAAAGTGTAAAAAAACTGTTGTGGATCTCTGTAAACTATTTAGAACCGCTAGAAATGGATTTTCGGAGATAAGCAAAGAGCTAAAACTGCTCAACNTATGATTATTGGAGATAATGGACTTCGCTGGTCATGTCCAAAGTGTAAAAAAACTGTTGACNCGGACCGTTTTGTGGCGTGCTGGCTTTGCGATGAACTGTCTCATTTAAGTGTTGCTGGTATTAATGGGAGAGTTCTGGATATGATTATTGGAGACAATGGACTTCGCTGGTCATGTCCAAAGTGTAAAAAAACTGTTGTGGATCTCTGTAAACTATTTAGAACCGCTAGAAATGGATTTTCGGAGATAAGCAAAGAGCTAAAACTGCTCAACGAGAAGTTCAAGAAGTATGAGGATGAATTCAAAGAATTTAAATTATTAGATACTTCCTCCTCTCCTTCTCCTGGAAAAGGTCTTAAAAGACGTAGGAGAGGCGTGGAAATTATTGTGTTGAATCCCATCACTGTGGACCTTGATCTTCCCCAGAACCGCCCACTTTTGACTCCAGCTATGAACAAAGAGCTCATAAGTTTTAACACACCGATTCCTCAGCGGACTGAATCTCCCCAACCACGTCCTTCTTCTACTGGAGTCTCACTAAATTCCTGTTCAACAGCTTCATCTCAACCCTCTACCACATCTGAAGCCATCTCCGATTGCCTCAACACCGTTCCGAAGGAAGTAGTCTTGCTCCTTCCAAAAACTCCACAACTACATCTCAACCCCCTACCACATTCGGAGCCATCGTTGCTCCTTCCAAAAATTTGACAGCTGTACCGCAACCCCCTACCACATCTGAAACCGTTTCCGATTACGTTAACCCCGTCCCGAGGGATTTAATCGTTGTCCCTTCCAAAAAATCGGTCTTTGTATCTAGGTTTTCAAATGATACCACTGTCCATAATGTGAAGGGGTATTTAACTTCCAGGCTGATAGAAAATGAGTTGCATGTACGCATGTTAAGATTCTGGTATGAAAGAAGCATTTCTTCATTTAAAAAAGACATAACCGAAGACTGCTTTGATAGAGTAATGAGCCCATCTTTTTGGCCAAGCGGTGCCTTCATTCGCGAATTTGAATTTAGATCTAGACCGCAAGGGCAAAATTTGGCTCAACTTCCGCCTTCCACCTCGGCATCAAAAAACTAATAAGTAACCTCACCATCAGCATTTACTACCAAAATGTGAGAGGTTTGAACACAAAGCTATCAAGGTTACACTTGCAGTCCCATGATTTTGACTTCGAAATACTGGTGTTTACTTAAACCTGGCTCAAGCCGAATGTGTTCAACTCCGAAATTTTGTGTCCTAAGTATAAAGTGTTTCGAAACGACCGTTTGAATAAAAAA